GCATATAACATTCTTCTAAGATCAAGAATCTGTGACACTTACAGGCCTGTTCTTAGGTATGATTCACCAGTACAAAACTGTTTAAATACAAAAAATGAAATGCATTTCTTTTCATTATGTTTTTTTCCTATTTCACATTTTTTTTTTTTGCACTTGCTGTCACCCCCTCTGCTTTTGTTTCCATTTAGAAAAAAAAAAAATTTCATTTGCTACATCCTTTCCTTCCTCAAATTTTTGGAACTCTGGATTCCATCTACTTTGGATTTTTATTAAGGGAGAAGAAAGGTTATTTGAATGTCTTTACAGGATGATTCAGACACATATCCCCCATACCATTTTCAGATCCATTTTAAGATGCCGGTATTTTTCGAAGTTATAGAACTACAGAATATTGAAGCTGGTAATTTCCTTAAAGATTATCTATGCTAGACGCCGTCATTTTCCAGATACAACTTTAAGTGCGTTCTGGAATAAAGTGTGCATCCTTTTGATAAAACAGCACCTCCAAATAAGAGACCCAAAGCCCAGGGAAGGTGGACCGACTTCCAAGGGCACATGGGTAAACAGAGGCAAAGCAGAACTGAAACGCAAGGTATCCAAACTCCAGGAGGCAAGGGACCGGTGGTTTCATGGGTGCCTTAGGAAATGGGTGCATGAATCTTATCTTACAAAGGTGTTTTATAAAAGCCCAATATCCATTAGACTAACCCAAGGGCATTGGAATCCTCAGGAACAAAAGCACGTAATTCAAAAGTCTACCTCCGGGGATTTCTCTTCGTAGACTGCCCTGTGTGTATTGTGTGGATGTGGGTGTGGGCAGGTGGGAGTTCAGCCCGTGCTCCTGTCTCTGCTCCTGGGGAGCTTTTGCTTGCACAGTTTTCTAACTTTTGTCCTTCACAGTGTAGACAAAGGTTAAAATTCCCATCCACTTTCACAGGCAAACATTTTAAAGTGCTTCTACAGGAGGCAGAGAGCAGGGAGGACCTTTGATTTAAAGTTCAACATTTACATTTGTAATTTTGACTAATTTCTGTGCTCGCATTAATTAAATTGAAATTGTTTAATTAGAATAAAAGTAAAATTGATCATTAGGATTAATTTAACCTGATAGGCTTTGTGTGCCTTTCTAGACAAATATTATGAAATATAGTGATAATGAAGCAGTGAGAGGTATAATTTCACATCTTATAATGATTTTAATATCTGCCAGTTGTTCTCCCTGGTATCTGGATAGCTCTGAATGTTGCTATTTGTTACATCATTACCATCCAGCTAGGGCCATGCTGTATCTCACAGTTGGCCTCTTCCCAAATATTTTTTCCTGTCAAAGTCTAAAGATGGACCAAGTTCTCTTCACCCCCACCCTCCTAAAAACATCATTCTTTCCCTTTCCCCCACCCCCACCATCTTCCAGGAAGACTGCTCGCTGGGCTTTTCCCCTGGGCCTTGCATCACAATGACCTTTGTAAACTAAGAACTGCTGCTTGATACTCCTTATGGAATTCACTAATGCTCCTCAGCCGTAGGGTCAGTGCTGTCAAATCTGGACTGCCCCTCTGCACCCCTTCCTGGCTGCTTGCTTGGAATAAGAACCAGGCACAAATTAAGCTGCATGATAAAATGAGGGATTGATGCCACTGAACAACGAACTTGAAGGGAGTGGAAGAGAGAAGGCAGCTTCTCCACGTGTCTAATCGGCTTCTAGGAAATAGCTTGTCCTCTTCAGCCCCGGCCTTCCGTGTAGCTCTATCAGGCAAGTGTGTTTCCAGATTTGGTGCTCCCTGTTTCTTAAAGAAAATCATAGAAGAATAAGGCCCCTGTTTTACCAAAGGATTCAGCATCAGTTTTTAAAGACATGAGGGGCGCCTGGGTGGCTCAGTCAGTTAAGCGGCTGCCTTTGGCTCAGGTCATGATCTCAGGGTCCTGGGATCAAGCCCTGTGTTAGGCTCCCTGTTCAGTGGAGAACCTGCTTCTCCCTCTCGCTCTGCCTGCCACCCTGCCTACTTGTGCTCTCTCTCTGTCCGTCTGTCAGATAAATAAATAAATAAAAATCTGTAAAAACATGAGACCTGCATCTACCTACCAACATACTAACGAATGTACAGCCTTTCGAACTACCAGGTTGACTGTCAAATTATTTCATCTTCAAAACAATTAAGATTCACATTGGTAAATTAAATCCTCAGGAAAATCTGCAAACTGTCTTGAGTTTCCCAAAATTCCTCCCATCCACCATTTTGCCAGAGGAACTTAAAAAAAAAAAAAAAGTAACACTAGCAGTTGTGTTTGTTTCCTATAGCAACCTTGAACAGCAGAATCCAAAGGACAGTGGAGAATGAGTCAAAATTAGATGTTTATGAAAAAGAAAAAAGAAAAAAAACCTGGACAAAAGAACATGATTCTCAGTAATCTGTGATTGACTGACCAATGAGATTAGCAGAGACTATCTCATATGCAAATTCTCATCTTTCTGCCAGATTGGCCAGTCATTCCTGACCAAAGGCTGAGAAACTCTTGGGTTACTTAGGAGCCCAGGTTCCACTCAGTCACCATAAGAAAACCACCACCCAAAAAGAGACTCCTTTTACCATCCATTTCTTCAGAATGTCATCTAAAGGATTCTACTTTTTATTCATGTCCTTATCCAGTAGAAGAAACTTCTTATTTTCATAGCAAAGAGTTTTAGTTAGAAGCTTATTCACATTTAATTTGTTTTTAGAAAATCCTTGATGTTTCTCAGAATTGAAGCTAATCTAAGTTCAGGGGGTTGAGGGAAGGGTATATGGCTAGCATACTCATGCTGTTATTGTATTGATTCAAGAAAAAGGACTGCCCCTCATTGTACCAGGCCAACAAGAGCTGTGACCTGGCACAGAAGATTGAGCTTTCTGTCTTCCCCGTGTCAGAAAAGAATACCATAAAACAAGGCTCAGTTCTGCATAGTCTAGTTCAGACACAAAACACTTCCATATATTATTTCATATTATCCCCACAGCCACCATGCTAGGAAGGTGGTCTTAATCCCTTCTTAACAGAGGCACACACTGAGACACAGATTCATCGTGGACTCTCTGTCCATCCACCCTCGGCCAGGTAGATTCTTCTCTAACCCCCACAGCAGCACTTAGTCTTTCTTGAACTACCTGCCTCATCACATATCACTCTGCAGGGAGGCAGCTGCTGAAGTTGGGAATGTCACGACCCACAGTGATGCTGGATGTGCTCACCTATCAGGAAAGAAGCATCCCGGGGTGAAGAGATGCTAGAAAGTAGGTCTCAGTCCCAGCATCATTAGTTTATTACTCCTCTACCTACTATCTCACTAGATAAACTCAAATTTCAGAGAGAGGTTGAGTGGCAGAGTCCATGGTGCTATTTCTCTGGTTCTTTTTCCATTTCTGCCCATGAAGACCATGGCTGCTTTCTCTGAACTCCTGGACCCTTGCATAGTCTTAACCTCAGTGAGTCACGAAATCAGCTCTCTCCGGATCGGTTCCCTATAATAGCATTTAGAATCCCTACTTCAACTCTTCCTTGTTCCCAACCCAAAATAGCTAGTTCTTCCTCTCTAGTGTACCTTCATTGCCTGGAAAATCCCTGAGATCTTTCTGACCTAAAAAATCCCTTAGGTTTTTTCATAAACACAATATGGGATCTCTTTTTTTGGAGGGGGGGGAGGGCATTTATCTTTATAATACTCTTTATCTGCATTTTCAAGACAGAAAAACAGTTTGGCAAGCCCTAGTTTTTATATCTGAAGAGAATAAATACGCACCGACCATTTTCACAAAATGCTGAAAATGATTGCAGAAAAATTCAAAGTCAAAGGCTATGGAATTCTAGAACATACTTCTAGAATCTGTTACTTTTCAACTGGAATGTTAACTTGAAAGCTTGATGGGGAAAATTAAGAAGATACAGTTGGCCCCTGCCTTGTCTTTCTCTCTTTCTTTGACTTTATAGCAGATCTGAGGAAACTTTGAATACTAACTGAAGCTTGTGTGCCCAGCCTGAGAGTCTGAAATGCCTGAGAAAGCAGTACAGATTCCAACTGTAAAACATTCCTTCCCCAAGCCTTGGAAACTCACACACTGAGGCCGGCAGAGCTCAGAGGGAGCACATGTAAATGAGGCTCAGTTATAAACTCCTGAGGAGTGTTTTATTTAGTTTAAACCTGAACTTGAACTCATAAACATGTTCCTGAAGAACAACGCCGAAAGGCTGATGGAGTACAACAGGAAGCGATATTTTAGCTCAGACAATTCACTCCTCGAAGAGAGAGAAAAATCTTCAAGTATTTTTTTTTTAAATCAACACCTTCAAGATAGCACAAGGTGGTAGAGCTGCAAGATTTTTGTGATTGCAGAATCCAAAGAAAGTTAATAGGTATCATTTGAACTTAGCACCATTCTTGCAAAATGAACGATAGGATCTCCCATCCATATGGTGATTTAATAAGAGAAAAGGATATTTAAAGAGTCAATGAGCATATAACAGTCCAATGTGTAATTGGTTTCATTAAAATATAATAAAGTGATAGCAGAATGTGTAACTGTTCCAGATGAGTACTGTGGGCATGAGTTCTGAGTTTGTTCCCAAATGTCAGTTACTGGCAGAACCGTACCTGGTAGAATTTATCTGACAACAAAGTAGGTGATTTTGTTACCATGCTTGACTTTATAAAACACATTCTTAAATCTGTCTTCAGTAATCTTTGCTTGACTAGTCATGACTAGAAAGGTAAAAATGAATTAACTAAATTTTCTGTGTTAGAATGATATTACCTGTCTCCTGGCAGGGAAGCCAGGTAGCTCTGCCAGTCATAAATATGATGTATATGCCCAAACTGTTGATAAGACCCTTCACACAGAGTGCTAATGTTATGGGATCTTTGCCTTTGTTCACCTCCCCACCCCAACCCCACCAAGAAGCTTCCCACTCACCTCCCCTAGAAATATTCAGGAAGAATCGAATTGTTTGTAGTAATGAATATTGCTTCGTTGTAAATTTAATCTACAGATTTAGAAGGAAATAAATCTGAACATAAAAAGCATTTGCTGTTTCAGCATTAAAAAAAAAAAAAGTACTGTCATTTGAAACTGCCAACCCCCCCATGTGGGTTTGTTTTGCAAGTCACGTCTTAACAAAGACAAGTTGTGTTGCCATAAAACCCTAAATCCTACCACATTTTCAGAAGGAGGAGGAAAGCATTGTTCGCTGATCCCTGGTTTGTGCTTTCGGGGATGTCACATGGAGCTTTGCCTGGGCTCAGGGAAATCATTCCATTTCTATCCAGGGTGGTTGGTCCAGAGGAGGGAGACCTTGACCCCACCGCATGCCGTCCGGATCACAGCAACGCCTTCTGTGACCATGCTGCTTACGGTATTTCCAAGTCATTTAGGCCAGTATTTGAAAGTTTTGTCTTTTTGTGTTTGTTACTTCCTCCCTCAAATGCCATGATAACTGGTATACTGAGGCTGCTTTGCAGATACGTAAAGTTGGACCCCTGAAGTCGCAGAGACTAGAATTTAGGTCTCCTGCTTTCTCCATGGCCAAGCTCAGTGAGGGATATGAACAGTCTTACCCCAGTAGCCCATCCACACTATGAACAAGGAAAAGATGACTCCTGGAACTAGTGAAATGGAAAAGCAGGTGTTCCCGGAAGGTAAAGAAAGTTCAGGAATGGGATCTTTGTAAGCAGAATCAGAGTCCCCTGGGGTGCCACCCCCAGGGCAGCTGGGGACTGAGCTCGGGCTCCCGATTCACAGTCCAGCGCTGAGGTGCATCTCACTGTCCTCTCTTTTCTCATGAGCCTGAGAACTGAGATGCTGCAGCCTCCTCCACCTTCTGCCCCAATTCTGCCTCTAAGCCTCGTTTCTTTGGCTCTTTGGCTTACTACAGAAGCCCCTCCATTCCAGCTGCTAGGCGGGGTGGTCGTGGTTGCAGCTGAGTGCCTTCTTCTGCGCTTCCTTTCTTAATCCGGTGAATGGAGTAGGAAGGACTGTTGGTTCCTGCAGCCTTTGGGAGAGGAGGGGTCTGCCGTAATTCCTGGTGGGGGGGGGGGGGGAACCCAGGTGGAAAGGGAGAGAAAGAGACTGGCTAGAGGGGTGGAGGGGGTGGGCAGGAAACAGGGCTCGGAAAGGACAAGAGGAAGGAGCCCGGACTGTGACCAGAGGGTGAATAAAGGGGTAAGAAGCAAAGACCTGTGCCCTGGGCCGTGCCAGTCGGCACCAGCTGCGGTGGAAAGGTCCAAAGATGGCAGATGCCATGCAGTGCCTAAAGGGCTCCTTGGCTGAAAAGGTTAGTTTGGGAATTCGTTTCTGGCAAAGTATCAGATCCTCCGTCGTTCTATTGCAGGACGTCTCTGGAGACTTTTTGTAATAATTGGACTTTTCGCTTTAATATTATTTTTTTACCCCTTTCCAGACTCTCTCTACCTGCACAATCCAAACAGTACATCTACATGAGAGATGTGCTGTGAACCTGAGTGGTGTTTGGGAAGGGCTTCTCAGCTCTGGGGGAAGAGCAGGAGCAGAGAAGCACTGGGTGGAATGATTATTACAATGTGGCCACGCTCTGCTGAGCTCTGACCTCCACTCCCACGCCTCTCTTTTTAAACAAGAAAGGTTACCTCCCTGGGCCACCGTTGGGCCAGCCCCAAGTGTGACTGTCTGCACTTGTTAGACAACAGGCATTTAATTAAGGTTGGAATCTGATGTGCAGAAAACATACATTTTTTTTTTCATTTCATAGCTCCCTAGGAAATTATTCTCCTCCGTCCCTACTGTACTCAACTCTCCCCGCCGCCAAAAAAAAAAAAGGAAAGACCCGAGGAAAGATTATCTTAATACTGAAAATCAAAAATTACAAAAGGGTAGCCTGCCTTCTTTAGTTTTGCCTTTGGGACTGACATTAGCCAGTAATAAAGCCTGTATTGTATCTTCAGAGCCGAGCCAGCTCTTTAATGGCTAACTTCCCACGTGCGAAAGGGTCTGTCCCATTTCGGGGCATTAAAAATAATAGCATTTAATGAATCTGTAGCTAAAATCTTTCATCTTTTTTTCCTGTGCAATCAAAGGGGTGGCCCAATGCCTTCTGATATTTGGTTTGGACTCTGTGGAATCACAAAGAATAAAAAGGAACAAACAATAAACACCAGGCCCCCGGCTGAAAATAAACCGCGAAGCACCATTGTCACTGCATTTCCGCTAGCAGAGCCATCCAGCGCACCGTCTGGGCTCCACCCAGACAATCCAGCAGTGCCATCCTAGCCAAACAGATAGGAACTCTGGACGATTTCATCGGGCCGTTGTCCCCTTAATCTCCACGCTGCACCTCAGATCTCAAGCAGCTTCCGTGGCGCGGGCTCACTTTAATGGATAGAATCTATTTTTCATGAAAAAGCAGGAAATAAGCTGTCTCTTTCATAAAAAGATTTACAAAATGTAATCATTGTTGAAATATTCCCTTTGAACTGCCGTGTCCACGGGGGTCTCCGGCTCCCAGAGTCGTGCTTCATTAGAACCCCCTCACAAGCGGCTCCAGAAGGGCAGGTACACTGGTGGTGTGCAGCTTTGATGTCTTGAATGAATGAAAGAAAAGCACAATAAAAAAGAGCTGTTGATCAAGCATAAAATACTCTTTAAGCTGACAGAATAGCAGCGTTAACACACCCTAAGCTGCTTTTAGTTTTTCCCTTTTTTCCTCACATTTTCCTGTGCTTTGTGTACAGTGGGGGTTTGTATTTTATAAGAAGTCTCTGATCTATGTAGTATGCCGTTCGCTAACAAAAACCAAAATAGGATTGTTTCTGTCCCACTTGGTTGCCTGACGACTTCCCCCCCCCGCCCCGCCGCCTCCCCTCTCTCCCCCGCTCACCCCCAACTTCCAAGGCGTGCAGTTTAGCCTTGCAAGGCAAGGGCCCAAATGGCTTTCATAAACTTGAGCCAATTCCTTTTGTGTGGTTGGTTTTGCTGCTCTGATTTTAATACCGCAATTAAAGACAGATTTTTATTTTCTCAAGAACTTTCTCTTGCAACTGGGGGAATGGAACTGACGCAGCTGCTACTTTTAACTAAGAAATTATATCATTAAGTAAGAGAGAGCCGCCTTGTTGAGCGATGACTTTCCAAGGGAACCGGTCCTCCTGGGGTCTCACGTGGACCGTAGGGCCCGTACACATGTTAGAATTAGAGAGTCCATTTACCCCGGCCTTCTGGTTTTGTGTGCTTGCCTCTAGCCAGGCATTAGCTCATCTAAGCCCCATAAAAACTGATCAAGTTGTTATCTCCATTTCATGGAGTCTAATACGGAGACCCAGGAGTGCTAACGAACTTGCCTGAGATGACTTCACTGGTACAGAATGGTGTATACTAGTTCAATGATGGGGTTCTGCTAACTCGGCCTCCGGGGGCCCAGCTCCACTGCGATGCACACAGCCCTCTGGGAAGTCTGCAGAGCGAACACGAGCGGGCCAGAGTGCAGTTGTTCATTCGGAAGTCTTTGGTTTCATGAGGTAAAAGGTTACTCAGATGAGACTGTAAAGGGAGACCAAGAAGAAAAAAAAAGCACTTGATGGGGAGGCAGACACTGGGGCAAGTTGGAAGACGGCGCAAGATTTAGACTTTGGAACAACAGTCGGAATAATTGGATTGTGTGTGTACTCCCAAGGTTTGGAGGTGCTGGATGGCTTATTGGGTAAAAAGATTAGTGTTTTCCCGTCTTGAGGTTTGAACCAAACGGAGGTCTTGGCCGGGAGCAGACGGTCACTCTCCAGGGAGCGGTGGTTTGGACAACTGCTCTGTGCTTGTAGTAAGTAGGCAGCCGTCCATGTTACAACACTATCGCACGTGCTGCTGACGCACTTGGCCCCGCTGCAGCTGCTCTTCCGTCAGAACTGCCTGGGGCGGCTTGCGGGGACCTGCCTGTGTCTCTCAGGAGCGCGTCTGTCATGGGGGGGAGCCACGTGGCCACGTGGCATGAGCATGGATGTGGCTCAGCTGTGCTGGAAGTCATCCATCTAAATACCCTGTTGGGGTAACTGACACCAGGCTTCCAGAACCTTAGACACAGCCCCTTCCTTCCTTCCTTCCTTCCTTCCTTCCTTCCTTCCTTCCTTCCTTCCTTCCTTCCTTCCTTCCTTCCTTCCTTCCTTCCTTCCTTCCATCCTTCCTTCCTTCCTTCCTTCAACTGTATTTAGTAAGTGCCTGCTCTGCCCCAGCCACTGGGCAAGACACCGGGGATGCCACGCTCAACAAGATATCCATTTTCTTGGGGAGAACACAGGTAATTACAGTTCAGAGACTGTGACAGAGGTAAACCCCAGGACGAAAGGCCTGGAGAAAGACCCCTTGGAAGAAGGGATGCTAATCTGAGAACGCAAGAGCTAGCAAGTGTTAGCAAAGCCAAGGAGAGCAGGATCGCCCGTGCCAAGGCCCAGCAGGGAGAAAGCATTTGGCTTTGGGGGATCTGGAAGAAGTTTCACACAGCACAAGTGTTGAGTACAGGCAGTGAAAAGATAAGGCCACAAAGGTAAGTGGGGCCAACCATGGCCCATTAATGTTTTAATAGTTTCCTGTACAATAAACAAGTCTTGGTTTAGCATTATTGAAAACAGGCTTTCTTTAATTAACAAAATCAGACAAGAAAAATGATGGCAGAGATCAAAGCCCGTGGCTGGCAATACCAGTAACTGACACCTGGGGATAGCTGCCCACCTTTTTCAGGAGAAACCAGTGTAAAAACCCACTCTCCTCTCCTGTCGTGCAGAGACAGACTCCTCACAGCAGTCCTCTGGGGGCCCGAGGACAGAGACCTCCTTAGTTAAAGTCACACAACTTGCTAAGGGAAAAAGTAGGACTCGGTCCTGGGTCCCTCAGACATTGAATGCTCAGCCTCATCAGTCGATATGAGGCTGATAAAGGTTGATCCTACTGTGAGCCCACCAGGGTACCTGGTATCTTGAAGGGTATAGAAGGCTGTGGTTCAGTGCTGTCTTTCTACGAAACGACTCCTAAAGGGCAGGACCTATTTATTGTACACATTCTATCCCCAGGGCCTAGTGTACATTAGCACCCAGCACACATCAGGGCCCTGGTGCTTGCAGAATGAGTGAAGAAATGCTCCAAAATGGTGTCTACTGATGTGAGAAACCCGGAAGGCCTGTCCATTTCTGTTGTATTGAAAGGGGGCCGGGGGAGCTACCAGGTTTTGGGCTGATTTGCCACGGGCAACAGTGGGCTTTAGCTCATCCAAACCAGAGCAGGAAGCCAAAAATGACGAGCTGGATGAGTGCGACCCTGCAGAGACAGCCTCTCCTCAAGAGAAGAGTAAAAATGGTGGCCACAACTCACGCAGTCCTGGTTGGTAGCGTCCTCTTCGGGGCTGATGAAGAGTCGGGCCTGCGGGGGCCATGGAGACAGAGGCCTCCCAGTATCTGCACGTCTCTGTTTTCTGTGTGTGAATGTCCTTAAATAACCCACCTTGCCTGGGGAAGAAAGCGAAGTGTCACACCCAGTTCTGGATTCCACATTAACAGCCTCCTTCCGCAGTGTTCAACTTTGCCCTTGAGGCCTTTTGTTTAACTTTTTAATCTGAAAAACAGATTCTGCTGCGTCACAGTCTGTACCACCCTCCCCATCCTCACCCCCTGCACCCTCTCTTTTTCTGGTTAAAGTAAAATAGAGCTATCTCAAACAGACTTGTATTTCCTTTTGTTGTTCAAATATACATCCTGCCCTCTGAGTGAGAAGAGTATATAAAAGGCCCTTTAAAAAAAGAAAAAACTTGTTATTCACATTAGACCGTTTGTTGTTGACGAAGGAGTCTAGTCTTCGTAGACCATGTCTTGGGGCCACCTCATGACCAAATTTTGGGAAAAGAGTTTCCTAATTGCTCTCTGTGGGGCATAAGAAAGGAAAGAGCCTGGCACTGTCAGAGGTGCCTACTGCCATTCCAGCCTTCCTGTTTAGGATGCCGCCGGATGGATATTGTTTATGGTTCATAAAACCTGACTACTGTGAGGACTCCAGAATCCCAGCAGAATGGGATTCGAACTTTCATGGAGCTGTAAATTAAGGGGCGGGAAGTGTGATAAAACTCCTTAGAGAACGGCGAAAAAAAAATTTCGCGCTGCAATGGTTAAATGAAATTTTATAAGCACATTCAGTGTGGAGCTGTTTTGCATTACATGAGTTGAATACCTTAGAGACGCCACATCTGCAGGCACTTTATTAAATCCTTAGTCAGCACTTTCCAACCTGATGAGATTACTTCTTCATTTGACTGGAGAAAAGGAAAGCTGAGCTCTGGTCCTGGACTGCAGGTTTCTTTTGATGTTTCACCTTGAACACTGAAAGAGGACAATTACCACCCCCCTCCGCTCCCCACCCCCCGCCCCCGGCACATCCCAAACTGTAGAAATTGTGAATGTAACAGATTAATTTTACTGAACTGGAGCCTCGGTGGGAGTGTGGATTTATGGACCTCCAAAACAACTATAGCTGAAAGTCCCTGAGGAAAAAAATAGATCAAAGCTCTGTGTTTACTTCCTTAATGTAAATGTATCAAGATAACATCGTCCTATATTGTAATATTGGAACTCTCTGCAGATAAGGGACAGAGATTCCTTTGTAGTCCATCTGGATGCAGTAGGTTAGATTAAGGGGTTATAAAGTATGAAGGCAGAAACCATATGAAATGGAAGTTTGTGTCAGTAAATGTCTGAAGACAATTTTTTGACTCTCCATAAATGAATTTTGTTTGGTGTGGCACTATTTTCCCAGTGATTTGCTACTCAACCCCAACAATTTAACAACCTCAGGATTATTTTTATATTTCTCTTGTATGACCCAAGGAAAAAAAATGCTCAGAGTCATTCTTCAAGTCATGTTTTGAAACTAGCACTGCTTGCATAATAGATTTTCTAAGGAAACATCACAAGAGAAAAGTGGGCTTTTCCAAACACTGTCTTGTGCATTTGATGTTATTAGTAGTTCATGGAAGCTTCTAGAAATTGAGTGGCATATACATGTGCAACTATCACATTCATCATAAAGAAATTAGGAGCGTCTTCAGCTACAAACTGATCATGAGAAAATAGTTCGGTGAAATGGATGAGTTTTTTGATTATTCTTATTATAACTGTTTATCTGCCATCTCGGCAAATAAATGATTTAATCAAAGAGACCTCATCCCCCCCAAAAAAAAATCCTCAAAAAACAAATTCCCTGTGTGGTTCCCCTAACGGACTGACTTCCCATTGTGGGGGGGGGGGGGGCGGGGGAAGCCTTGGTCAAGTAGCTGGGTTAATTGTCATGAAGATTAGTGTGATGTTGAAATAAGTCCTAATGGTCAAATTACAGGAGTGAAAAAGTTTAAGAATAGGTTTTGGTTTGGGCCTGAAAGGGTTAATTAAGTTTTTTTCACGGGTTATTAAAGACCCCCAACCCATGGCTTCAGGAGTCATATTGACACCACACCACAGGGCAACTCGCTTCTCTATTGACATGTTGCTGGTCAGAGCACAATAGCCTTCTGTGTCTGAAAAATCATTGCTAAAATCATCGCAAGGAAAAAAAAAAGTTTGAAAGCCCTAACCGTAGACAAAAGCCCAAGAGCTGCAGTGCGCAGCTCAAAAACCCGGAGTCAGCAACTTCTATTGATTAAAAACTAACCTTTAAAGTAACTCTGAGAGTGTGTGGTTAGCATTTAAATTTAAACATGTCATGAGTTGATTTGTGTTACTGAATACCAACTCAGAAGGAGTAACATTCACATCGCATTTTTTTTTTCTAATTCCCTTAAGCAGCTAAAGTATTTCATGAAATGTCAATAGGGCAAAAAGAAGAAGTGGGGGGGCGGTGGCAATGCTAGGCCTTGTAGTTTTCTTTCCCATGCAAATATTCACCCCCCCAAAAGAAAAGTGTGGAGAGTGAAACACAATAATTAGTCCTTTGTCTAACTTTCCCAAGTGCCAGAGAAAGACAGATTAATTAAATATACAACAGTGTTGGTTTTTGGAGTGGGGGTCTTGCTTGCTGTGTAGGTCATAAATTAGGCAGAATAAATACTTCAATGTGTTTGCAGTGGGCCTGCTACGTCAGAGCCCCTGGAAGGTTGGTGGGAGGAGAGCGGAGGGTTTCTTGCTAATGATAGTCACGTCTGGGTCTGTCTGGTTGCTCTTAGCAACCAGACATGATGTAACACCAGGATGAACTTGAACTTGGGGGACTTGAAAAGAGAACAATAGACCAGAGCAATCAATAAAGCCTATTTCAGTGAAGGATTACAGAGCTGCTCTGGGGTAACCTTGTCGGCAAGGCACACACTGAATAGTAAGATGTGTGAAGAAACTTTTTTTTTTTTTTGCTTTGCTTTTTAAGAGAAGTGCAGAGCCACTGCAGATTTTTGTAGTGCGCTGAGGTTGTGTCCAGAAACTGTGGTATGGAAAACTGCTCCCCCTGCTGACTCACTGGGTCCCCGGTGTTTGCTTCGAGAGCTACTCTGCGGCGTCAGATTGAAGAAGGCTGGAATTTCACAACCGACTTAGAAAGTGTGAGAACAGAAATCCTGTAAGCATTATTCGCCGCACCCAAACTTGGAGACTGTTTTGTGAGCGAGAGACCGCGGCTGTGGCACGCACATATCCGTCAGCTCTGAGGAGAGGCCTCCTGGAAATACAGTTCGGGCCTTGCCTCGCCTCTCCTTTCTTTCCCCCTCTTCTTCCTTTTGTCCAGTTAGATGTAGGCCGTGTGTCTTTGCCAGGATGATTTCCTTTCGGGACACAAGAGGCTTTATTGTGTTGCTCAGAGCATGTGGTCAAAGAGGAACATCTAAAAGTACACAGGATGAGTAGTTTTTCGGGTTAGGCTTGGGTTTTTCAAGTCCTCTGGAAATCAAAGGTAGCTTGTGTGACCAGGAAATCTCATACCTGGTAGCTATCCACGGAACTATCATTTCGCCGTTCACCCCTGGGATCAGAGGCCGTCCTTTACGTAATTGAATCTCTTGGGCACCGATGAGCCTTCGTCTGACTGAATCCACTCGAATGTACCCCTTTCTGATACTGCCAACTCAGAGATTTCAGCGACATTCACTTTTTCTAGAAGTTGACGATTTTTCTGTGAATAATGATGGATGTGGTGAATTTGGCACAGTAGCTCTAGGGAAAAGTTGGCAAAAGCCAAACACTTCTCTATTTCACTTAGAAACCTACTTTGATAGTACACCATAACTGGTCACTTTGTTTAGCTAACGGAGAAAACAATGCTGTCATATAAAGTGATGTATCACCAGACTGTTGTCCAAAGCCAATCACCTAAGGATTTTTGGAAAGGAAAAGGTAACTGGTAACTGGTAACCGGGCCCAGCAGGCATATGGAAGGCTTCCTAAATAAGTGCTGAACGAACAAAAGCAAAAACAGGGGCTATGCAATGGCCTCATTTTTGTCCTTTGGACATCATGGCAGCTAATAGGGTGAAATCTTGATCCCATTGGATTATTGTATGTCATTTTTGAAAAATTATCTTAGAAATATCATTGAGCCAAAAGGAGCATTTTACCTCAGAAAATTTACCTCAGGCACACATAAAGGAAACTGGGTATCAAAGAGGTGCTGTGACTTGCCCAAAATTACCCAGGACTCTTCGTGCAGCACCTTTTTCTACTTCACCCCCACTTATTTTTATGTCACTGTTGATCATCCGCGCCCATTCAAAGACTGTCACAGCACCGTCTTTAGGGCCTCCATCTCATTGAAAAGGAGATGTGAAAATCATACAAGTAGACATTGATCAGCACAGGAAACCTCTTCCCTCACCCATTGTCCATTCGTTCAGCACTTGTTTGTTGAGAACCTTCTACTGCAGGCACTGTGCTAGGACTGAGGACTCAGTGACAAGATGATCAAGCTTCTTGCCCTCCTGTAGCTGCCCCTGCCAGACTGCAAAACCTATATATGTATTTCAAGTGGACACAAACACTTTATTTTTGAGACATACTCAGAACGTTGGCAAACCCCAATGAAGACACTGAGTTTCAACTTCAGAGGAGTAAGATCAGCTTCAGTGACTCAGGATTTACTACTGTCTGTCATTCCTCTCTTCCATTTCCAGAAAATCCTCCCCCCCCGCCCCCATTTCATTCCTAATAGAGATCCCAATTTCATGGTCGGAAGGGCAACTTCTAAAATATGTTACCTTCCAAATTGTACCTCTAATCTCTCTTTTCCTTTTGTCTTCCAGTCCTGGTACCTGGGATAAAAGTCGCAGCGTCCCACCATCCACCAGACAGACCACCTGACCCCTTCTCAACTCTGTAACATGGACGCATCCTCAACCCAGCGCGGTTACAACTTCACTGTCAGTGGAAGGGGAGAATCCAATCAACTTGTACATGGAAACAGCGAGCATTATGGTCAAACAGCAAAGGCCATAACCTTTTGGGATTTTTTTTTTTAAATACTTTAGGGACTGTTGTAATTTTCTCATATGGTGCTGGAAATGGTTGGGCTTTGTAACATTAGGAGTGTTTCATGGTAGCGTGAGCATTAGGTGATGTGGCTAGTGGAGGTCTACCCTTGCTCACTGACTTCCCATTGTAACACACTTTCCTTACGGAGCCTGGCTGTTTCACAGTATTTCATGAATTTACCCACACAGGTGTGAGCCTCCTTGAGTCATCAGGAGGCGCATAGAGAACGAAATCTTTTGTAGTAGCTGAGATCTGCAATATATAACTTACGGGACAGTCAAAGGGCAATGTTTTTCTGTAACATATTGGAAAAAGAAAATGCAGTTATGTTCCTTTTTTACTTTTTCTTTTGGTTTGGTTTGGTTCAGCAGTCAGCAGTTAAATATATAACATGGCCCACAAGGACAGTGAATCCACTCACGTTGCAGAACAATTCCGAAATGACAAACTACTACTACTACTATTCAGTTTTTTAAAAGTTGTGAAATGCTGCACTTACATTTAAAAAAAAAAAAAATTTTTTTTCAACAATTTCAACAATGACACACAAATTCACATGGAAATGGGGAAGATGGTCTGTTTTGACAGAAACTGACAGGAATCAATCAAAACAATCGAATTTTGAAATGAGTAAAGTGCAATTTCATTGGATAGCTAAATATCTTTGTAAGATAGAGATTGTTGAAAATTCTATTTTTGTTTTTCAAGTCCTTCCACCCCAGGACTCTAAATTATCGGGGTAAAAAACAGCCTTGCAAGAAAAAGGGGAGCTATTTTTGCTTTTTATGTTTTTTATTGTTAAACTTGTATCCCTTTAAAAACTGAAGGAAAATTTAAAAAAAAAAACAAAAAAACAAATCTAATGGTG